CTAGTCTATAGTCTAGTCTATAGTCTAGTCTATAGTCTAGTCTATAGTCTGGTCTATAGTCTAGTCTATAGTCTAGTCTATAGTCTAGTCTATAGTCTAGTCTATAGTCTAGTCTATAGTCTAGTCTATAGTCTAGTCTATAGTCTAGTCTATAGTCTAGTCTACAGTCTAGTCTATAGTCTTGTCTATAGTCCAGTCTATAGTCTAGTCTATAGTCTAGTCTATAGTCTAGTCTATAGCCTAGTCTATAGTCTAGTCTATAGTCTAGTCTATAGTCTAGTCTAGTCTAGTCTAGTCTAGTCTAGTCTAGTCTATAGTCTAGTCTAGTCTATAGTCTAGTCTAGTCTATAGTCTAGTCTAGTCTATAGTCTAGTCTAGTCTATAGTCTAGTCTATAGTCTAGACTATAGTCTAGACTATAGTATAGTCTATAGTCTAGTCTATAGTCTAGTCTATAGTCTAGTCTATAGTCTAGTCTATAGTCTAGTCTATAGTCTAGTCTATAGTCTAGTCTATAGTCCAGTCTATAGTCTAGTCTATAGTCTAGTCTATAGTCTAGTCTATAGCCTAGTCTATAGTCTAGTCTATAGTCTAGTCTAGTCTAGTCTATAGTCTAGTCTAGTCTATAGTCTAGTCTAGTCTATAGTCTATAGTCTAGTCTATAGTCTAGTCTATAGTCTAGTCTATAGTCTAGACTATAGTCTAGTCTATAGTCTAGTCTATAGTCTAGTCTATAGTCTAGTCTATAGTCTAGTCTATAGTCTAGTCTATAGTCTAGTCTATAGTCTAGTCTATAGTCTAGTCTATAGTCTAGTCTATAGTCTAGTCTATAGTCTAGTCTATAGTCTAGTCTATAGTCTAGGCTATAGTCTAGTCTATAGTCTAGTCTATAGTCTAGTCTATAGTCTAGTCTATAGTCTAGTCTAGTCTATAGTCTAGTCTATAGTCTAGTCTAGCTAGTATATAGTCTAGTCTATAGTCTGGTCTAGTCTATAGTCTAGTCTATAGTCTAGTCTAGTCTAAAGTCTAGTCTATAGTCTATTCTATAATCTGGTCTATAGTATTTTCTAAGGTCTTCTCTGTAGACAAGTCTTTGGTCTACAGAGTCTATAATATATTCTATAGTCTAGTCTAGTTTAGAGTCTAGTCTATAGTCTGGTCGATAGTCTGGACTATACTCTTTGGAGGACTGAAAAATAAAACGGTGCGTAGGACTACTATCTATCTAGTCTTTATTCTAGTTTATAATGTAATCTTTAGTCTAAAGTCTGTATTTCAGTCTAGTATAGTGTCTATAGTCTAATCAAGATTTTCCGCAAAAGATAGAGCATAACAGTCCTGATAACACCCGAAAAACAAATATTAACTTTATTTTATAGTGGTCTAGTACGGAATTGGGAAAATAATATTTTTACTACAATTCGACATAAATTCTAATGAAAAAAATTTTAAAAATATTTTCTAAATTTTAGAAAATTATTCAAATATTTCGCATTAACAACGCTGATTAGCCTCGATAAAAAAATATACACCTTAATAAATTTTTGTGTGTCATTAGTTTTATCTCATTTTTAATTTGTGGCTTAAATTTTGTTATGATTTGTTAAACTTAACTTTATAACTGTTTTATTTTGTTTAATTTACATATAACATTAATTATTGCTATTATTATTTTAAATTCTAAAGAAACAAATAAATATAAACATTTTGGTAGAAAGTGGAAGTGAGAGTGAGCAAAAGATTAGTGATTGATAGAAAGATTGATTGATTAATTGTTTTTAGTTGGTTTGGTTGTTTGCTGGATTAATTAATTTATTAATTAGTGTCAGAATAAACAGAAACAACTAAATTTATTGTTATTAAAACAACAGTCAACATTTAACATTAAACTAATTTATTTATTTTTTTTTGGCTAAAAACTAAAACTTACGTAGAAGATAAATGATTAAATTGACTGGAAGATTCCATAAATTCAACACAAAATACGACAGATATACAATATTTACGATGACAATTTCTTTTTGTTTAAAGTTATGATTATTATTACTTTCTTTTATTAGCTTAATTAAGTCTTTTAATTGATTTGTTTTTGCAAGTTTAATTAAATGCAAAGGTGATAATAGTTTTGATGATTTAAGTGATGAATTATTACAAGTAGAAGAAGAAGTAGTAGTAGTTGTGATAATAAATAGAAAATTTTATATTTAGTTTTAATAGAGAAAAAAAGCTGTGATTTTTTTAGTTTTCTTTAAACCATTTGATAAAAATTAATAATAAATGTAATTAAGTAAACAAGCGGTTGAATTTTGGAAAAAATTTATGAAATTTTGTTAAACAGCAGCAATTTGGTAACAAATAAGACAAAACATTTAAGTAATTTGATTGGTTTTTATCTAAATGCTGGGTACAACAAAGTTAATCGGGAAATACTTAAATGACAGAAAAAGGTGCTTTAGATTTTGTGGCTAATAAATTTGCAAAACAAGAAATTCCTTTACATTTCTGAAGTATTTATGGCTAATGTAAAGTTTCTTCATACAATCTATGAATTCACACTGAGACAAAATTTTGTTAAGAATTCGTTTACCAAATAACGTTAAAATCTTAAATTTTTCTAGTCGATGTTCTAATCTGTAGTCTAGTCTAAAGTCTAGTCGATAGTATAGTCTAAAGTCCAGTCGATGGTCTAGTCTAAAGTCTAGTCTAAAGTCCAGTCGATAGTCCAGTCTAAAGTCTAGTCGATAGTCTAGTCTATAGTCTAGTCTATAGTCTAGTGTATAGTCTAGTGTATAGTCTAGTCTATAGTCTAGTCTATAGTGTAGTCTATAGTCTAGTCTATACTCTAGTCTATAGTCTAGTCTATAGTCTAGTCTATAGTCTAGTCTATAGTCTAGTCTAGTAGTCTAGTCTATAGTCTAGTCTATAGTCAAGTCTATAGTCTAGTCTATAGTCTATTCTATAGTCAAGTCTTTAGTCTAGTCTATAGTCTATTCTATAGTCTAGTCAATAGTCTAGTCTGTAGTCTAGTCTATAGTCTAGTCCATAGTCTAGTCTATAGTCTAGTCTATAGTCTAGTCTATAGTCTAGTCTATAGTCTAGTCTATAGTCTAGTCTATAGTCTAGTCTATAGTCTAGTCTATAGTCTAGTCTATAGTCTAGTCTATAGTCTAGTCTATAGTCTAGTCTATAGTCTAGTCTATAGTCTAGTCTATAGTCCAGTCTATAGTCTAGTTTATAGTCTAGTCTATAGTCCAGTCTACAGTCTAGTCTATAGTCTAGTTTGTAGTCTAGTCTATAGTCCAGTCTACAGTCTAGTCTATAGTCTAGTCAATAGTCTAGTCTATTGTCTAGTCAATAGTCTAGTCAATAGTCTAGTCTATAGTCCAGTCTATAGTCCAGTCTATTGTCTAGTCAATAGTCTAGTCTATAGTCTAGTCTATAGTCTAGTCTATAGTATAGTTTATAGTCTAGTTTATAGTCTAGTTTTTAGTCTAGACTATATTCTAGTCTATAGCCTAGTCTAGTCTATATTATAGTGCATAGTCTAGTCTATAGTCTAGTCTATAGCCTAGTCTATAGCTTAGTTTATAGTCTAGTCTATAGTCTAGTCTATAGTCTAGTCTATAGTCTAGTCTATAGTCTAGTCTATAGTCTAGTCTATAGTCTAGTATATAATCTAGTCTATAGTCTAGTCTATAGTCTAGTCTATAGTCTAGTCTATAGTCTAGTCTATAGTCTAGTCTATAGTCTAGTCTATAGTCTAGTCTATAGTCTAGTCTATAGTCTAGTCTATAGTATAGTCTATAGTCTAGTCTATAGTCTAGTCTATAGTATAGTCTATAGTCTAGTCTATAGTCTAGTCTATAGTATAGTCTATAGTCTAGTCTATAGTAGTCTAGTTTAGTCTATAGTCTAGTCTATAGTTTAGTCTATAGTCTAGTCTATAGTCTAGTCTATAGTTTAGTCTATAGTTTAGTCTATAGTTTAGTCTATAGTCTAATCTATAGTCTAGTCTATAGTATAGTCTATAGTCTAGTCTATAGTCTAGTCTATAGTCTAGTCTATAGTCTAGTCTATAGTCTAGTCCATAGTCTAGTCTATAGTCTAGTCTATAGTCTAGTCTATAGTCTAGTCTATAGTCTAGTCTATAGTCTAGTCCATAGTCTAGTCTATAGTCTAGTCCATAGTCTAGTCTATAGTCTAGTCTATAGTCAAGTCTATAGTCTAGTCTATAGTCTAGTCTATAGTCTAGTCTATAGTCTAGTCTATAGTCTAGTCTATAGTCTAGTCTATAGTCTAGTCTATAGTCTAGTCTATAGTCTAGTCTATAGTCTAGTCTATAGTCTAGTCTATACTCTAGTATATAGTCTAGTCTATAGTCTAGTCTATAGTCTAGTCTATAGTATAGTCTACAGTCTAGTCTATAATCTAGTCGGCAGTCTAGTCTATAGTATACCTATATTCTAGTTTATAGCGTAGTGTATTATCTATAGTATGGTCTATAGTAAGATCTGTAGTATGGCCTATAGTCTAGTCTAAAGTCTAGTCGATAGTCTAGCTTTAAGTGTAGTCCATAGTTTAGTCTATGATTTAGTCCACAGTATTGTCCATAGCATAGTATAGTGTGTAGTATATTCTATAATCTAGTCTATAGTATAATTATTAGTTTGGTCTATAGTATAGTCTATATTCCAGTCAATTATTGAAAGATATAAAATATAGTGTTCTCTGCAAAAGGAAATGGTTTTATACGCCATTTTGAACATGTATTTTTTCTCTTAAGTTTTCTTAATAGGCATTATTTCGAGGACGACAATTTCTGATAAAATACTGGTTTCGGGTGAACGAACATTGGCTTCAATGCCAAACTAGAATAATTTCAAGGTAAATACGAGTTTTTCTGACATTTCTTTTCAACATTTTATCTCAGTGTGAAGAAAGCTCTAAAAATGTTACTACTAATCATCATTGAAAGCAATAAAAGTATTCACTTTGGTTTTG